GGGCATCTGCGTCTGCCCTGAGTCGCTTCTCAGGCGAAGCTGAACCGCGGGAGCGCAGTGAGACCATCTGAGTGTGGGTGACGTTTTATTTTGAGCAGAAAAGAACAGAGCAGACTAACCCTTCGATCGGTCAGCCTCCCCCACCCCCCTACCCGCCCCTGCATGGAAGGCGCTCGATGAACCTGGAATGTTCGCCTTGTGCCTCGTGTTCAAAGAACAGAAGTCAGGCCTGCCACACAGAGCAGGGAGGTGCGGGCGGAGCTCCCGCGTGCAGGCAGAGCCCGGACTCATGTTCTCTCTTGGCCCTGATAAGCCCTTTCATCTCTAAAAAACAGGGGGCGGGGTGGCGGGCAGGACCCACGTCCTCACGGGGCTGCGTGAGAGTGACATGATTCCCGCAGATGCCCTCCAGGCTCGCCAGCGCTCGGGGCAGAAGCTCTGCCATCTCAACTGCCAGGGAAGTTGGGGTGACGCTTCTGGACTCGAAGGTCCCTTTAGGGGACATGGCCTTCGCTGGAGCAGCCTTGGGTGTGAACGCGGCAGGAGGGCCCGGGCTGCTCTGGCCGCAGCTGGGGAGCCCCTGGGTCCTGAGGCCGCCTGAGAAGGACCGAGAACGAAGGTGTTGAATCAGAGGAAAGCCTCATCTCGCGGCTCAGTGGGGTTTGGGGCCATCCCGCTGCGGGAGCGTGAGGCCGAGGGAACGGGGCGCCCTGCCCAGGGCAGCCAATGCTGGCCCGGACCCAAGCCCTTCGTGCCCGCTGCACCGCAGGCCAAGGGCCTCATCACGGGCTCCTGGCTCACAGCGGCAGGTCTCCGGGGCTGCCATGGAGGGGTGGGGCCCACCCCACCCCACCCCACCCCACCCCGCCCGGGGCCCGCCCCGTCCCTGGACGGGCCACAGCTGTGAAGAAGCCAGGTGCTAGAGGAAAGGGCCGGGAAGGGAAGGGGGGACGGAGAGGAAGGGAGAGGGCGTGACTCACTGCACAACCGTCATCTTAGGAACTGAAAGCTGTGTGTGTGGACATGGGAGGAGGGGGCGGTGCCTGCTGACCTGTCTGTCAAGAGCTCCTTCCAGGCCCCAGGATGAAGCCCCCGCTGTCACCACGGACATGTGTCCAGGGCCGCTCGCTCTGCCGTCTGAACCCAACCCAGGAGCCGAGCTGCTCACCGCCAGGGGCTGGCGGCAGAGTTCAAGGTGGGGTGTCCTGAGTTCAAGGTCTGCTCAGGACCCTCAGCAAGTCAGGTGGCCTCTCCACCCCTCGCCGCCTGCAGAACAGGGGACGCAGTTCCCGCAGTTCCGCTCGCTCGGCTCAGCCAGCCGCAAGGGACGGTTCGAGATTTAATTGTTTCAAGACCGCGTCAGAGCCATTGGGGTGGGGCCAGTACGGCCCCGTTCCCTGCTGTGCTCCGGGGCCTCTGGGGATAAACAGCCGATAAACATTTGGTGGGTAAATGAGCGAGAGCGAGCTGGGCCGCTGCCCGGCGTGGGCGCCATGCACGGCGCCTGCATTTCTGGGGCTCGGGCCAGGAATCCGTGTTTCCGTAGCCCCCCCGCCCGCCCCCCGGATGGCTGATGCTTACCAAAGTTTGGGAAACATTGCTATTGCCCGGCCGGCGTCGCTCCGTGGCTGAGCGTTGGCCTGTGAACTAGGAGGTCAGGGTTCTATTCCCGGTCAGGGCACAGGCCGGGTTGCGGGCTCCATCCCCCAGTGTGGGGCGGGCAGGAGGCAGACGATTCATGATTCTCTCTCATCATTGATGCTTCTCTCTCCCTCTCCCTTCCTCTCTGAAGTCAATTAAAAAGAAAAAAGGTAGCGGCTCTGCAGACAGGCAGCCTCGGTGTGGGTCCTAATGCTACCACCTGTGTGCTGTGTGACCTTGACAAGTGTCCCGGCCTCTCTGTGCCTCCGTTTCTTTAGTGTGATGGGAGGAATAACAACAGCGCCTGCTTCACAGGGCCCCCGAGGAGGGGGAGTCTATCCTGCAGGGCACGGGAAGAAGCCTGGCGTTGCTGCCCCATTGTTGTAGGGGGTCCCTCCTTCCAGGGCTGAGACCAGGATTGAAGTGCAGACAGTCTGTTCACAGAATGAGCGGCCAGGCGATCCTAGCAGGCAGGCAGGGCTCGCTGGGTCTCTGGAGGCCCCTTCCTCTGAGGGCGGGGGGCTGGGATGCTCGTGTGGACAGCAAAGGAGTGTCAGGGGCCAGGGGCCCAGCAGCCACTGCCACGCCAGCCCTTCTGAGGTAGCCGGGCGTCTCCCGGCCGTACCCGCCCCCCCCCCCCCCCACACACACACATGTATGAGGACCTGGGAACGGCTCAGGCGAGAGCGGAGCATCCTGGGCCAGAGTTCACCGCTGCCCAGGTTAACAGTGGCTCCACAGGATGCGAGGGACACCCCAGGGCCCTGTCTGTAACACATCTCCCCTCACACCCCCCTGGCGGGCGCCTGGATTGCTCTCTAAGGCAGTGGTTCTCAACCTTGGCTGCACATTAGAATCCTCTGGGAATCTTTTTAAAATCATCAGGATTTTAAAAAAAGATTCCCAGGTGATTCTAATGTGCAGCCAAGGTTGAGAACCACTGCTCTAAGGTGTTTGAGCAGGGCTGGGGCAGGGCCGGGGTGGGGGTGGGGGTGGGGGTGGGGGGGCGGGTGGGCGGGAGCCCAGGGGCAGGGAGCCAGCGGGCCTGAGGCGGGCAGAGGTGGGGTGGTGTCCGGTCTGGTCACACGTGCCGGGCGTGGCTGCCGGTGGCTGGCCTTTCAGGTCTCCGGCAGGTGCAGGACTTTAAGGAACCGAGAGCTGGGGCTGGAGGAGCTGGGCGAGGACCAGCCAGGCTGCTTCTGCATCGGGCACCAGAGCCAGAGGGCCAGGGCCTAACACCCGAGCGGGCGCGCACAGGGTGCAGTTACTCCGATGACAGGGAGGGCATTGGAGAGACCGTGCCCCGCCTTAACCCTTGGGAGGCGGCCTGTGTTGCTGAGTGGCACAGCCAGGGAGGGCGGGGTGTTAGGGATCCTCAATCCACTTCTTCCGCCCGGCCAAGGGTGAACCTGACGGCGGGGGGTGGGGGTGAAGGATTTAGAACAGACAGACAAGAGAATACAAGCTGGGTCTCCGCGGGACGCTGCTTCTCTGATGGAGACAGAGACAGCGCCTGCGCCCGCGCCCGCAAGCCGAGTCTTCATTTTATACCAGATTCCACGAGGCAAAGTAAGGGCGTGGCCAAGATGTTAACAGTGTTCTAATCCACTCAGTTACATGCACCTGAACTCTCTCAAGCCCACATCATGCAGCCAAGCGGGACCACAGGTTCGGACCATGAGGTCGAGCTCACAGCCACAGCCTTTGGCTATAACTGTGCTGGGAGGGCTCTGCCCTCCAAGCTGGGACTTGCACGTGGCCATGAGAGGACCGTGCCCTCTCTTCAGTCCGAGACTTGAACCTGTCCAAACGCTGTAGCCGCGCCCCACATTCCTTCTCCAGGACCCCTCGTCTGAGCCTCCTCATCTCCTCCTTGACCAGCGGTCAGGGGGGGCTGGCTCCCTCCGACCCTGAAGCTGACTCCGCAGGTGGGAGCTGTGCTCCGAGCTGAGGCCCAGGACACCTGCCCTGCCCTTGGCCTCTGCCCCCCCCCCCACCGCATCCTTGAATAACTTCCCAGGCCCCCGCCCAACCCCTCCGATGGAGAAACAAAGAAGCCAGGGGCCGTTGGGACAGGAGCCCTGGGACCCCAGAGGGCCATTCCCAGGCAGGTCTAAGAATAGCCCTGGAGGAGAGCAGGGATGCAGTTGGGCCACTTCCAAGATGTTCTTCCCAAGAAAGACTCCAAACCCTTCCTGGCCTCATGCAAAGGGGAAGAGGCAGGTTTTACCCTGGGACACGGCCACTGGCCGCAAGGATGCTCAGAGGCCATCCACCCTGTTGCTGGAACTGGGGCCGAAGGGGCACCTGAGAGGGGATGCAGCCTGGCTGAGGGCCCAGGTGAGCCAGGACAAAGGGGGTGCGTCTTACCAGTACCTCAACTTCACCCATAAATGTTGCAAACGTTGAAAAGGGAGGGCCATAAGTTTTAATTTTTTTAAAAAATATATTTGGCCCTAGCTGGTTTGGCTCAGTGGATAGAGTGTCGGCCTGCAGACTGAAGGGTCCCAGTTCGATTCCGATCAAGGGCACATGCCTGGGTTTCAGGCTTGATCCCCAGTAGGGGATGTGCAGGAGGCAGCCAATCAATGATTCTCTCTCATCATTGATGTTTCTCTCTCTCTTTCCCTCTCCCTTCCTCTCTGAAATCCATAAGAGGGAAACATCAATGATGAGAATCCTGGGTGGGCTGCCTCCTGCACGCCCACCCTACCGGATATCCCGCGCAACCCTGGCACATGCCCTTTGCCAGAATCAACTCAGGACCCTTCAGTCTGCAGGCCCGCGCTCTGTCCACTGAGCCAAACCAGCCAGGGCGAGCGAAGAGAAGGCGAGGGTGTGCACATTTAACCCACAGCTCAGGACGAAGAGATCGCCCGCCTCCAGGACCTGCCAGGTCACCTTCACTCGGGCAGGGAGGAGTGCTCCCACAGGGTCCGTGCACTGAGCCAGTGCAAGGCCACCCACGCGGCACACGAAACACTGAGGCCAGAGAGGGTGGGCCCCTACCCAGTTGCCCAGGAGTGGGTTAGCGGCCAAGTTTTCACCCAGCCTGGCCTGCGGGTTCCCTGGATCTTCTCCCAGTTCTCTTCTCTCCCGGAAATGGGTCTCCCTGCCCCTCCCCGGCTGTGCACTCTCTCCCCTTCTGCAAACAGCAGGAAAGGCCACCGTGACCTCAAGCTAGAACTCCATCACACGCAAAAGCGCCACAGCGCTCTGCGCACGCGCCTGGTAAGCCCCGCCCCTCCGGCCGCCAACCCGCCTCTGTGCCCCAAACAAACATGGCCGCTTTGGCTACGGACGCTTCCGCCCAGCACAAACATGGCGGTTCCTGACGTCATAGGACGGCGCCGGCCGCCCCGGAGACTGCACGTGCGCTCGCGTTTGGGAAATTTCCCGGCTGGGCCATGGACACCCCGCTGAGGCGCAGCCGGCGGCTGGGAGGCCCGAAGGCCGAGCCTCCCGAGAGCCCCACCGCAGCTCCGCGGGCGAGACGAGCCCTTGCGGAATTCGAGTCGAGCCTGGAAGAAACGAGGGAGCCCGCGTCTCCTCGGCGTGTGCGGCAATCCGGCCTGGGGTCCCCCCGACGTCAGCCCGAGACACGCCCGGGGTCGCCCAGCCTAGGGCAGGGGGCAGGCCTGGGGTCCCCCCGGAGGGAGCCGGGCCCAGGGTCCCCCCAGGGCCAGCAAGGTCCAGGCCCGGAGTCTCCCCGCAGACAGCCAGCGTCGAGTCCTGAGCGCCCCCTACAGGAGCCCAAGCCAGGCGGGGAGTCCCCGCAGGTCCTCGGGAGCCGCGGGGGCCCGGGCGCGAGGCTGGCGCCGCGTGCGGAGGAGGCGGCACGGCGGCCCCTCCAGCATCAGCCGTCGGGGCCTGGGTCCCCGGAACCTCACCCCGGTCAGCAAGCGCCGGGCCCGGAGCCCTCGCCGCCACCGCAGGAGCCGGCACCCCAGCCCCCCGGCGCCCCCCGGGGCCAGCGCCCGCCGAGCCAGCCACCGCCGGCCCGGGAGCTGGCGAGCGACGGCCTCTGCCCAAAGGAGCGGACAGGACCTTCAGCCCAGGCCCCGGCGCCCAAGAAGCGGAAGGAGGAGGCGGAGGTTCCCATCGTCCCGAAGGGAAAGCCCAAGTCGGGGCGGGTGTGGAAGGACCGCGCCAAGAAGAGGTACAGCGGGCGGGGAGCGCCGGGCAGGTGCCGCCTGGAGACAGGCTCCGGGCTGGAAACGGGTGATGATCCTGAGAAGGTGGCGGAAGCCCTGGGGCCGCGGGGAGGGGGACGGCACGGCTGTTTCCGGCTGCTTTCCTCCCGGCCCCTGGCTCTCCTGCAGGCCTCACGTGTGAATTCATGCAGCAGGCGGTTCTGCGCCTTTGTCTGCCCTCTCCAGCGGGAGGCAGGAGCCAGTAAGCCGCCATGACTTGCTGAAGCGGAGAGGCCTGCGCCCACCCGCTTCACGTTGCAGTCATGTGTCTGTGATACGGTGTTACCCGCGCTGAGTAAACAGGGCAGGCTAGCGCTGGCCGGGGGTGAGCCTTTCCAACAGGGGCCGGCATGCATCCTGCGTGTGGTCTGCACACGAGCCCTGGGAAGCAGCCGGTTTAGCCTCCTCTCACATACCGGGATCCTCTTCTCGTTACATGTGAGGAAACGGGCTCTGCAGAGAGACCGGGGTGCGCAGACCGCAGGAGGCCGGGGTGGAAGCAGAGAGACCGGGAAGGAGGCCGTCGCACTAGCATTAAAACACCTTCAGAGGCTGCAGGCAGGTCTTGTGGATTAGGACCTAAAGGCCACGGAATTGATGCCTGGGACCTTCGAGGAGGCAGCTGCAGTGGCCGGGGAGTGAGCCCAGGGGTCGGGAGGGCGGCCGTCGCTGCCGGAGGCCTGGCTGCAGCCCACCATCCTGGCTCATGCCACATGCCGCCTCTGCGCAGTGCTCCGTGGACGGCCCGTCCCTTCTCTGAGGGTGGCGTTTATTGAGCAGAGCGCTGTGCTAAGGGCTTCCGCTCTGCCTCAGCGACCCTCCCACCAGCCTTCGGGATGGGAACAGCTCTCGTCTCCATTTCCCGCGTGAGGTGCCGAGACTCAGAGAGCCCTTTCCCGCCCCAGGCCAGGCCGTCATCCCACAGGGGCTGGTTCAGGCCTCGGAACCCAGGCCTGCCTTCCCTCCACCTCCAGGTAAAGCGATGCTCTGGAACCGCACGGCCCAACACCTTAGCCACTGCCACGCGCGGCCATTTAAATTTAAATGGATTAAAATGAAATACAGTTAAAGATTCATTTCCTCAGTCACACCAGGCACATTTGAGGCGCTCAGCGGCCAGTGTGACTGCTGGCGTCCGTGTTGAACAGCGTGAACGTAGAGCCTTGCGACCGTGACCGAAAGTTCTCTGGCTGCGTGCCAGGTCCCCGCTTCCCGGGCTGCGCAGACCCCGCTTTGGGGCAGGAGGAAGTGCATCCCGAGCCCCGTTCTGTGCGCAGGAGGCCAGGTCGGCGGCAGCGGGCCTTGTGGAGGGGAGAGGGCAGGGAGGGGCATGTAGGGTCAGAGCAGGCCCAGTGGGGGAGCAGGACAGAACCAGCCTGGAGGCGGGCAGGTGTGGGGTGAAGGGACAGACTGTGTGCCGTACTCGCGTGGAGCAGGACGGGGAGAAGACGGCCCAGAAGAGCTGGACTGACCCTTCCCGGGGACGGCGTTTGGCGCCAGGCAGGACCCCGACCTGCGTGTCACGGCACCTTGCAGTGAGCCTTCGCCAGAGGTGACCTTTCCTCCCGTGGCTCGTGTCACCCTCGCACGTCAGAAACTCGACTCCCCTGGTCACCTCGAGCCTGCGCTGCGCCGTGCCCACCTACCTCCTGGAGAGAGAGGTTCCGGACGTGACGGGACGGTCCCGCCCACGCCGCCCGGAGCGAGGAGCCCTCTCCAGGGCACCCCTGCCCGGCCGGCCAGCGCCTGGGGGAAGCAGCAGGGCCTCCTGGCAGAGGCTGGGCCTGGACTCGGTCACAAGCAGCGGTTCATTCGGGAGCGGGAGGGGAGCCCTTGCCTGCCCCGGGTCCGACCTGGGGGGCGACTGCCCGCACCAGGCAGGCGGGGGTGGCTCTGACTGGGTTGGAGGAAAGAGCCGGGTGCAGCGCAGGACCCCACGAGCCCCTCTGCCCCCAGGTTCTCCCAGATGGTGCAGGACAAGCCTCTGCGCACCTCCTGGCAGCGGAAGATGCAGGAGCGGCAGGAGCGGAAGCTGGCCAGGGACTTCGCCCGGCACCTGGAGGAGGAGAAGGAGAGGCGCCGGCAGGTGAGGGCGGAGCCAGTGTCTGCTGGGAGGGGGGCGGGGGCTCACGCAGGTGCCCAGGGAGAGGCTGGCGGCCTTTCTGGAGCCCGAGGGTGGCAGGAGGCCTGGCCGGGAGCGGAAGCGCAGTCTGGGACCACGGGGCAGGGAAGCCAGTGGGCTGTCCAGTGTAGCCCGGGCTCTGCGCGGCCCGAGGATGGGGGAGGCCGGGAGGAAGCCCCGTGCCCACTGGCGGGAGGCGGAGGGCGTTCAGTGAGATGGTGCCGGGCCCTGGTCGGGTGGGGAAGCCTTTCCCCGATTGTCGCTGTCGCTCTCCACGAGGCGGCTGCCACACCGGGGGTGCCCGCGCTTCCCCCACTTAGCTCCCCGATACTCTCCCAGGGCCACGCGTGCCCGTTGGAGGCTCACGCCCAACCTCTCCGTCTCGGGGAAGCCCCAGCGGGCCAGGCAGAGAAATGAGGCCGTGGCGTTCAGCGGTCACGCCCACCAGGACCAGGGCTACCCTGGGACACCCCCACCTGGTGATCCCGGGTACAGGAGGCATCAAATCCCGTGCCCCAGGCTCTGGACTCCGCCGAGGGGAGGGGGCCCGTTACTCAGTCGTCTGTACCGGCTTCAATCGCCCCAGCGCCTGAGGTCCTTAGAAGGAGAGGCTGTCGCCTGCACTGAGGCCTTATCTCACTTCCTATGCAGCCGGCTCCCTCTTGGGCAAGAGGCCTCCTCGCTGTGCCTTCGCACGGTGTTCCTGTCCCGCCCCGCCCGGACCTGCCTGGGAGCCCAGGTCTCACTTCCCATTTCTCACTGGGGCCCAGGCCACGCCTGCCCGCTCAGTTCCCAAAGCCCAGAGCGGCCCCTGGTCCTGCAGCAGCCCGGAGTCCACCCCACCCCGCCCAGCAGGACGGCAGTGAGCAAAGCTGGACACCTGCTTCCATTCCCAGGCAGTCTCCCTCTCCATCCACCTGCTGGGCTCCCAGTGGCCGGGCGCCGCAGGCCGACTCCACTCGCCCCCCTCACTCCCCTGAACACGCCTAGGTGGGCGTTCTCGTTGTAAAGACGGCGAAGCACAGAGGTTAACTACACGGTCACCCTTTAAGAAGTAGCTGCGCCAGGATTCGAACCAGAGCCTCTTTCCTGCGGCCTCCACCCTTCCCAGCCCCGCACCTGGGCACCTGGACTTCAGGGGCAGAGGGTGGAGTGAGGGGACCGGCCCCCTCCTCCCAGGGGCCTCTCTACAGGTGCCTGAGTTTCCCAGTGGGGAGCACCGTGTCTGAGTCCCCGCAGCCGCCTAAGCCTCTATCCTCAGCTGCCTGCCCAGGCGCCCACCTTCTCGGGTGGAGTCAGGACCTCCCCCCACGGCGGTCCCATGGGCCCTCCACCCGCCCACCCCCAGGATCCGGGAGACAAGGTCCCCCTCTCCCCCCCCCCCCCCCCGGGAACTCTGCCAGCTCTCCCTTGGGTGCCTGAGTGCCCAGGGCTGCCTCACCCAGACCCACGTCTCCCCCCTGTGCACCCAGGAGAAGAAGCAGCGCCGCGCTGAGAACCTGAAACGCCGCCTGGAGAATGAGCGCAAGGCCGAGATCGTCCAAGTGGTGAGTGGCGCCCGTCCCTGCCCCCTGCCCTCCCTCCCCAGGCCTCCCTTTCCCTGGGGAGCAGGGGGAGACTCCAGCCTCATCGCTGCTTTGCCCTCGCACCCCCAGATCCGAAACCCCGCCAAGCTCAAGCGGGCGAAGAAGAAGCAGCTGCGCTCCATCGAGAAGCGGGACACGCTGGCCCTGCTGCAGCAGCTGCCCCGGGCGGCAGCCAAGGTCTGAGCGGCGCCAGAGGCCCCTGGAGCCAGCCACGCGTCAGACGCGGCGCCTCTGCTGGGCCCGCACTCCCACTCCGGCTCCGTGGGCAGGACCCACTCTGGATGGGGCCCTGAGCCTCTGGGACTCTCAGGCAGGTCTCTGTGAGACAGCCCAGGGGGAGCCGGGCCCTGGCAGAGGTTGGGGGGCCGGGGGAGGGTCAGCTCCCTTCCCTCCTTCCCCAAGTGCCTTCAAGCCCAGGAGAGCCCGTTCTTCTGCCTCCTCGGGGAGCTGGTGCCTGAAGGGTGACTCCCCCAAATGTGCATGTTCTGTCTCAAGGTCCGGGCCCGTCCCAGACCAGGAGGCCGGCAGGGAGAACCCAGCTCCCCATCCCTTCCTGAGCTGCTGGGCACCTCTGCACCCACTGAGCCCAGCTCACCCACTTGCAACACTGAAAGGTGAAAAGGGGAGGTTGCAGGGTTCCCCTCCAGCCCCTCTCCTGTACCAGCCTCTGCAGAAGCCCCAAAGATGTGCCGAACTCACGCCCATCCAGTCTACAAGCATATTTATTGAGCACCTGCTGTATACAGGCACAGCACAGGTGCCAGGGAATGCAGATGAGTCGCAGCCCAGGAGCTCTCACTCCCACGGAGCGAACAATAAACAGTGTATTACGCGGCAGGTGGCAGCAGTGCAGTGACTAAAGCGGGAGGGGCCTGGGCGAGAGGTTCCTACGGATGTCTGTCAGCTGTACAGCGGCTCTTCAGTTTGCCAGGCACCTGCTGTGGGCTGCCCTGCCTGTCCTGGGAGTGAGCAGTAAACCTGCCCGACTCCAGGGGCCCAGCCAGGGGGTGGCACAGGGAGCATGGGCTCTTCCACTAATGCTTTGCCCCCAAACGTGTTGGCACCAGCTCTGCGCCAGGCCCCGGGATGCAGAGTCGAATGTGCGGTCTGACCTCGAGTCCCCGGCAGGCGGAGGAAGGAGACCCGCTGTCCTGGGCACACAGGCCCCTGTGTGGTCGGAGGTGGGCGCTGCAAGGCTCTTGGGTGACCAGCATTGCCCGCGCAGCGTGCCATGGGACAGCAGGCACCCAGAGGTGCACGTTAGCTAGGGATACGGGCTGTGACCTGCAGCTGCTGTGCACATGCTGTGCTCCAGACTGAGGAGCATCCTTGAAGACACCCACTGAACATGGCTAGTTCCCACACTGACCTCAGCTCCCCTTTGCTTCTCCACCTTTAACACTGAACAATGCTGGGCCAGCGGGTGGAGATGGGCCCCCACAGTCACCGTCTCCATCAGCTGGGGTGCCAGGCTGTGCTCTCACCGCTACATAGTAACTAAGCAAGTGAGCGCGGTGGTCAGTGGGCGGACTCTGCTCTGGGCAGGTCACACCTCCCTGCACCTCCATTTGCGCGTCTGTAGCAACGGCTGAGAGGACCTGTCCTCCAGAATGTGGGCAGGGCGCCCGGCTCAACATTGCTCCTCAGCCCTAGACTGGAACAGGGCTTCCAACCTTACTCCTCTGCTCCAAAACCACCTCACTGGTTTCTGTAAAAGAACCCGCCCCCTCCTCCCAAACCTGGTAAAGTTGAGCTCCAAGGATTCACGCCCTGTGTCTGTAGGGCGTCCTGCCCTAGTTGGAGGAGTCTTAGGATCTTAGCCCCACGTGGTGGGTGGACCAGGGGCACCGACTGGGACATGGCCTCCTGGGCTTGTTAGCAACGCAGATCTCAGCGCCCGCCCGGCTGCTGGCAGACTGCATGGGGGTCCCTAGGCGGCGCGCAGGGGGGTGTGCGTGGCTGTTGCTGAAAAGGCTTCGCTGAGCCACGCGGGCACTTTAAAATGCAGACTCCCGGGCCTGCCCCTGGGACACGCTCTCCGCGGCCGCGGCCGGGGATCTGCATTTTAACGCCCGTGCCTCCCGGATGCCTGCGCTGGTGCCTTGCAGGGGGACGGCGATGCCGGCCGCGCCTCTAATCCGAGGTGTTGCTCAGCTCCCGGTTCAGGGGGCCCCTCTCCTGGGGTCCCCGGCCCTTCGCGGGCGGCGCCGCGCGGACTCCGCGCAGCCAGCCCAGCAGGCGCGCAGGGCGGGGGGCGCGGGGGGCGCGCGGGGCGGGGGCGGCGGAGGAGGAGCGGCGGCGGCTGCCCGCGCCCAGCTCGCCGTCCTCCACCAGCACGCTCTCCAGGACGCTGCGCAGGGAGCGCCGCAGCTTGCGCAGCATGTCGGGGCAGGTGAGCACGTAGAGCAGCGGGTTGACCACGCTGTTGAAGAAGGCCAGGCTGGTGACGAAGGGCAGCCCGCGCCACACCAGCGGCCGCAGCGCCGGGTCGCCGTGCGAGCGCGCCTCCAGGAGGCTGAAGACGTGGTAGGGCCCCCAGCAGAGCGCGAAGGCCGCCACCACGGCCGCCACCAGGCGCACGAAGCGGCCCGAGCGCCGGCGGCCGCGGTGGCGCAGCTGCGCGCTCACGGCCAGGTGGCTGGCGGCGATGATGGCCAGCGGCGCCAGGAAGGCCAGCAGGAACTTGCTGACGGCCAGGGCCACCTGGCGCGCGTTGCACGTGGCGTCGTGGTCGGGCCCGGGGTTGAGGAGCAGCAGGTTGTAGTAGCACATGACGCGCCCGTCCCGCCGTGGGATGGTGTCCCGGAACACGTAGTAGGGCACCGTGTTGAGCGCCGCCAGGGCCCAGAGCGCCAGGCACACCTTGTGGGCCGCCGCCACCGTGCGGTGGTTCTGCGCCCACACGGGCCGCAGCGCCTGCAGGCAGCGGTCCAGGCTGATGGCGCTGAGCAGGAAGCCGCTCGCGAACATGTTGAGGAAGAAGACGGAGGAGTGCAGCTTGCAGAAGGTGGTGCCCAGCTCCCACGAGTGGCCCACGGCCAGGAAGTAGGTGAAGAAGGGCAGGCTGGCGGCGGCCAGCAGGTCGGACAGCGCCAGGTGCAGCACCCAGGTGGTGACCACGGTCTGGCGCATGCGGCAGCCCACCAGGAAGAGCACCAGGCCGTTCTCCGCCAGGCCCAGCAGCGACGCCAGCCCGTGCAGCAGCGCCGACGCGTGGTCCATGTAGCGGATGCTGGAGTTGCTGTGGCTCTGGAGGCGGCTCATGTGCTCCAGGAGCGGGCAGAGCGGCTTCGCCGTGACGTTGGCCAACATGCTGGGCGCTGCCCTGCAGAGAAGCAGGCGCGGAGGTGGGCGGTGCAGGGCAACGGGGGACCCTGGCCAGGAGACGGGGCCTGACTCGCGGATGTGATTGGCGAGGCCCCTGGGGTCGGAAGTGATGAGAGACTTCTCAGCTCCCCTACTGCTGGCCATGCAGCCTCCCTCTGGGCAACATGCCTGTCCGTCATAACATGACCTCGCTCAGAGCGTGGCTGGGGAATGAGCTAATACAGAAGCATGTGGAGCAGGGCCGGCCCACAGCAACCCCACGTGGATGTCAGCGTGGTTGTCGTTGTGAGGCAGATGCCTACGCTCCCGTGGAGACATGGGAACAAGGTCGGGCCAGGAAGGACCCCTTTCCCCCGCCGCCCCACGCGGGAGAACCAGCGCGGCTGAGGCCTCCCCTCAAGGCAGGAGGGCTCAGCGGGCCTGGGGATGGACGAACGGAGGGAGCCTGTGCCTTTAAGGGATGTCGTCCCTCCCCCACCCACAGCAGCCTCTGACCTTGTGTCTCTGCAGTCTCCTTGGGGCCCTTTGCTCCCACAGTGGCGGCCGGTTGGGTGTGTTGACGGTAAATAATGGAGGCGGCCCCTCCTCTGATGGTTGAAGAGGAACTAAGATAAGAGCGGGGAGCCCAGCGGGGAGCGCAGCGCAGGAGGAACTACCTGCTGGGCCTCCCGCAGAGACCCCTCCCGGCCTGGTGGGAGCCCCAGGAAGCCCCGCCTGTTCATTCATTTGTTCACTGGGCCGTGCACTCCGGGGACAGATGCTGCCTGAGCAGCTATTCCGGGAATCGCTGGAGAAGCCAGCCTCGCAGGTGTGCAGGCCCCCGAGATGTGCACGCCCACAGCCTCACGGAGAACCCGACTCCATCTGATGTGAGGGCTGAGGAGGCTGAGGGACTGGGGCTGCCTGGACCACGTCCGGAGTGGGGGTGGGGGGGGCTCAGGTTGCCCGGGCCCCCACAGCACGCCAGGACTGTGGTAGGTTTCTTACACGGATGCTCTCCTGCTTACTGCACTGCAAGAAAGGTGCCAGTACTTCTCTCCATTCCATTTTGCAGATGAGAAAACTGAGGCGCGAGTGTTTAAATAACTTGCCCCAAAGCCACCGAAACCATAGAGACAAGCAGAGAAGTAACAGTTCAGCGCCCGGCCGCGTTCTTCCCTCTCCCTCTGCTCCGGGTAAGAGATGATGGAGGAAGAAGAGAAGGAAGTGGGGGGAGGGTACCCCTCTCCCTAGGGAAGCGCTGTCGGCTAGGATGAGAATGTCCGCCCCCTTCCTCAGGGACCACGTTCCTTTGCAGGGTGAGGTCCTGGGATATCAGTCTAGATTCCCCGGCAGATGAGCCCCTTGGCGCTGGGATGCAGGCAGGCGGTGGGCGCCAAGGGGCCGTGCTGCCTGAGGAAGCTTGCTCACGCACGCACGCACGCACGCACAGTGGCCTGTGAGATCCCACTTTTCAGAAGAGGAACTGAGGTTTGGAGAAGCAACTCGCGCAAAGTCTCCCGGCAGGCAGCCGAGTGCCATCCCCTCTGCACCTGGCCATCCCCTGCCGTCCAGCAGCTGCGCCCAGGGCCCCTGGGGGTGCTCAGAGAGCACCGGCCTGCCGTCCCCCCCCCCCCCCCCAGCAGCCAAGTGCGTCCTCTGGCTGCAGAGTCAGCCCTAGCCTCGGGAGGGAGCCCAGCACGGGGGGCCGTCTTGGCAGGGGCTGGAGCAGAGAACACCAGCTTTCGGAGTCAGGGGCCCGGGTCTGCACCCCGACTCCTCGACCTTCTGGGGGGTGAACTGGGGCCTGTGACCCCAAGACGGCTGTGCGGTCCAGTTAATGCTGAAGAAAATGCAGGCCCCTCCTCCGAGCAGCAGGTCCCCTCCAGTCCATCATCCCTCTGCCATCCTGGCAGTTAGCAGCCTCTCCCCTGGAAAAGCTCATCTCTCGTGGGTGCAGAGAGGGCACCACGCTGCCCAGCCCCACCACTGCCTCCTTACCTGGGCACCGAGGGAGGGGGCGCAGGGTCCCAGCCCTGGACGCAGGCGGTTCTGGTGGCTGCCAGACAAGAGCGCTGGTTAGGAGGAGGCAGGAGCGAGGCTGAGGGAGGAAATCCTCTCGGGCGAGTGTGTGTGTGTGTGTGTGTGTGTGTGTGTTTAGGGGTGGGGTTGGGGAAGGCGGGGACAGCCGGCAGGCCGGTGTTCAGGAACGTTCATCTGCTTGATAGGGAAGGGACCTGACTGCGCCCCCCTCCCCCGCCCCCCCCTTGACAAAGGAGACGTTACAGAAGCCGGTGCACATGCATGTGGGAGACAGGTGTGTGCCCAGGACTGAGCCCATGTGTGCAGAGGCAGGTGCTTTTTATTTATTTATTTTTTATTAATTAAATCTATTGTTCAGATTATTACATTTGTTCCTCTTTTTTTCCCCCCATAGCTCCCCTCCACGCAGTTCCCACCCCACCCTCCGCCCTCACTCCCCATCCACTGTCCTCATCCATAGGTGCACGATTTTTGTCCAGTCTCTTCCCGCATCCCCCTCACCCCTTTCCCCCCCAAGAATAGCCAGTCCACTCCCGTTCTATGCCCCTGATTCTATTATAATCACCGGTTCATTCTGTTCATCAGATTATTCACTTGATTTTCAGATTCACTTGTTGATAGATGCATATTTGTTGTTCATAATTTGTATCTTTACCTTTTTCTTCCTCTTCCTCTTCTTAAAGGATACCTTTCAGCATTTCATATAATCCTGGTTTGGTGGTGATGAACTCCTTTAGCTTTTCCTTATCTGTGAAGCTCTTTATCTGACCTTCAATTCTGAATGATAGCTTTGCTGGGTAAAGTAATCTTGGCTGTAGGTTCTTGGCATTCATCACTTTGAATATTTCTTGCCACTCCCTCCTGGCCTGCAAAGTTTCTGTTGAGAAATCAGCTGACAGTCGTATGGGTATTCCCTTGTAGGTAACTGAGTTTCTTTCTCTTGCTGCTTTTAAGATTCTCGCTTTGTCTTTTGCTCTTGGCATTTTAATTATGATGTGTCTTGGTGTGGTCCTCTTTGGATTCCTTTTGTTTGGGGTTCTCTTCACTTCCTGGACTTTTAAGTCTATTTCTTTCACCAGGTAGGGGAGTTTTCTGTCATTATTTCTTCAGATAGGTTTTCAATATCTTGCCCTCTCTTCTTCTGGTATCCCTATAATTCGGATGTTGGTACACTTGAAGCTGTCCCAGAGGCTCCTTACACTATCTTCATATTTTTGGATTCTTTTTTCATTTTGCTTTTCCAGTTGGGTGTTTTTTGCTTCTTCATATTTCAAATCATTGACTTGATTCTTGCGATCCTCTGGTCTGCTGTTGGGAGTCTGTATAAAATTTCAGTCAGTGTATGCTTAATTTCTAGTTGGTCCTTTATCACCACCTCGAGGGTCTCATTAGATTTCTTGTAGATCTCATTAAGTTTATCGGCGGTTTCTAGAAAGTTCTTGAAAAACCTTAAAAATGTGGTTTTGAACTCTATATCCAGTAGTTTGCTTTCCTCCATTTCTGTCATTTGTGTCCTTTTTCTTTGTCTCCGCATTTTTTATGCTTCCCTGTGTTGATAAAGTGGTTTTCTGTGCTAAGTGTCCTATAGGGCCCAGTGGCTCAGCCTCCCCAATTACCCGAGGAGGACACTCTTGGTGTACCCCCTTGTGGGCTTTCTGCACAGTCTTGTTGTAGTTAAGCCTTGATTGTTGTAGGTAACACAGGGAGGATTTGACCTCCAGGCCAATTGGCTGTGAAAATCAGCTGTGTCTGCAGTGGGAGAACTTCTGTGCTGGAGACACCCCTCTGGGGCAAGACTTGCTTCAATGGGGCTTTGGTGCTCACTGAGTCTGCCCCCTGAGTGTGTCCTTTATGGTTCCACGGAGCTGCAAACTGGATGGTCCCACTCTGGATCTCTAGGGAGGTGCTAATCTAGCCTCTCCCTGAGGCTATCCAGCAAAAGCCTCCCTGCAGGGCTTGGGCTGGGCGGGTCCCAGGGATCAACAGGGTGGAGCGAGCAGTTATGGCTGCTCTCAGTCCTGCCCTCAGAGGCTCTGCTTCTCAGTGTCTCGGCAATCGCTGCAAGCCCCTCGGAGAGAAAGCTGCCCTTGAGTTCCGACCGATGCCAGACAGTCCTGCTTCTCCCGTTTGAGTCTGGGTCCCTAGAGACTCGCCGGAACTGGAGCCCAGAGCCTGAGACTCCCTCCCGATTGAAAACGACAACTGCACCCTCAGCCGCCAGCCCGCTCCGCATGCACTCCGCATCTTCGTATTTTACTTCAGCACTGCGCCTCCTCTGAGTCTCGGTGTGCTTTTCTCTTTCCTTCTAGTTGTAGAACTTCCACTCAGCCAGCCTTCCTGTGGTTCTGGATGATGTCTGTTCCGTCTTTTAGTTGTATTTTTGAAGTGGTTGTTCGAGGCAGCAAACTCCGGTGTTTACCTATGCCGCCATCTTGGTTTCTCTCCCCGGCAGGTGCTTTTTAAACAACTTTTTTGATTGATTGAACTTTTATTGGTTGATGGATTTGACAGAGACAAACATTGATTTGTTGTCCCACCTGTTGATGCATCATCGGTTGGTGCTTGTCTGTGCCCTGACCAGACAGAGGTCAAATCTGAAACCTTGGCGAATCAGGACGAAGCTCTAACCTACTGAGCTGCCCGGCCTGGTCCAGGCAGTGCTTTTGAGAGTGACCAGCACATAGAGCGCCTGGCAATAGAGCGCCCGGCACGTAGAGCGCCCAGCAATAGAGTGCCTGGTACGTAGAGTGCAGGAGGAGGGGACATCTTGTCCATGTGCCCACCGCCCTGGGTGCCCTCTCCAGACCCGGCTTCCTTGGAGAAGCCCCCTGCTCCTCGGAGGCATCGGGCAGCTCCACTGCCTGCTCATGAGGGGTCCCCAGGGCTCCTGGCCAGGAAGGCAGGCAGGACAGTGGGAAGCGCAGGGCCTGGCTGCCCATCCCATCCCTGCAGCCCTGGCCTTGAGGTGAGCCGCCCCCCTTGTTGGGCCCCTTTGTGGCATTTGTGAACAGAGCAACAGTGTCTATCTCAGAGGCTGTGCCAAGAAGTGCCCTCACTAAGCGCCTGGCACACAGTAGGTGCTTATACAAGTCCCTTTATTTCCCCTCTGGAGGAACAGTGGGTACAGGCGCAGGGCGAGGATAATGTCGCTTCTATTCAGAACGCCCTAGCTTAGGGTCCATTTAAAAAGATGAAGCAAGATGCCCTGGGAGGCGAGGACTGAGCTGTGACGGTGCATTGACTTGCCCCTCAGTCTTCACTCCCGTGGCTGACGAACCTTCCGGGGCCAAGGACACTTCCTTCAATGTCCCACAACCTTGGAGATACTCAGTGACACAGGCTAAGCCCTGGCCTGCTCAGTGGTTAGAGCCCTGGCCCCAGTGGGGTCTTGACGGGGAGGCAACCGATCGATGTGTCTCTCACATCCATGTCTCTCTCTCTCTCCCCTCCCCCCTCCCTTCCACTCTCTAAAAAACCACCACCACCAACAACAAAAACATGTTGAGAACTCAGCACCCCCATATCAGGGCCAAGGGTGCGCCTCCGTGGGACCGACTGCAAGCTTAACGCACCCCCACCCCCACCCCGGCGGAGAAACGCAGCCCTAGCACGAGCAGAACGGATGAAGTGATGTGCGGATGACGTGACGTGCGGGCATTTCTCCCTGGCGCCCAGAGGGCTGATGAGTCAAAGGCTTGATCGTCCAAATCCTCGCCTGGAACTGTCCTCCTCCTCCTCCTCGGGGCTCGTCTCCCAAACACCCGTGCCTGCAGCCTCCCCCCACCCCCACCCCCCGCCTGCCGACCCAGGGGTCTCCCCTCCCGCCAGTGCAGCGGGTGAGCTGCCCACTGGGTCGGGCGCTGCCCCTCCCTGGCCGGGTGAGCTCGGCAAGTCCGGCAAGTCCCTTCCCAGCCGTTCAGTGTGATTTCCCTTGGTGTTCTCCCAGATGCAGGGGCTGGTGCGCTTCGGACTAAGGGAACCCCCCCCCCCAACCTGCCAGTGCGAGGCCTGGCTGGGGCAGGCACATCCCTCCCCCCACGCCCGCCAGGACCCTCTCAGCCCTTCCTCTGTCCCTCCCTCAGCCTCCCAGTGACAGCCCTTTTGGTGGCTGAGAGCCTCACTCCTGGCCCTCCCCCATCCCGTTTCCTGTCCTTCCCTGGCTGTGGGCCCCCTGGCGCCCTCCCCGGGGCAGCTGGTGAAGAGCGATGGACACACCAGCACACACTCAGAGGCGAGGCCCCAGGGCCTTTTCTGAGGAAGCAGCGTGGTGTTTATTTTTGTGGGATCCCACCATGGGAACCGGCCGCCCCAGCACGCACAGCAGCCAGCGGGAGCCCACTCTCTCCGCGTGGAGGACGGACGGATGGACCGACGCCAGGAGGGCAGGATGGCCTCTCCCCACGGCTCAGGACCCCAAGCCGGAGCAGAGGCTCTGAGTGGAAGAGTCTTGGGAGGAGCCGGAGCAGGGGAGCTGGAGCAGGGGAGCTTGGAGCAGGGGTGCAGGAGCAGGGGAGCCGGAC